GAATGGAAGGAAGTTTCATTCAAATTCATTCACAGGATTTATTTTGCCAAAGGCTACCTTAAAAAATTCTAATCTGATATTACTGTGAACTGCACTTTTTGTGACATTCTTCCACAATCTGTAACACATTTGGTTTGGTTATGTCCATACTCAAAGACTTTCTGACAACACATTTGTAACTATGTGGATTCAAATATTTTAAAAGATTTTTAACTTTGTTGGGAAAAGATCCTATTGGGTTTTCAGCTGCAAACTAAAATGTTTCCCTAACCTTTCCTTGTCAATCTGTTAATTATCTTGGCAAAATTTTATCTGCATAAATTTAAAGTAAAAAAAAAAAAAGCCAGACTTTAAAGTTTATTTAATTGAACTTAAACAATATTTTAATACTATTAAACCCTCTTCTCACCATGAGGCACAAATAACCATTTCAATCTGTTCCCAACTAAAACTTGGACAATTTATCGACGCAGAAGATATGTGTATTTGTATGTATATATATGTTTATATACATTCGTATATACTGTATGACACTCCTAAACACAGTTTGTAAGTTTGTTTGTCTTTCCTCCTGACTGTACTTGTTTATTGTATTATATTATTATTCCCCCTGGCATATTTATTTGTTTATCTGTATATTTTATATGTTATTGTTGACTTTAAATGAAATAAAAATAAATAATAAAATATATTGAATGTTTCGATATTAACTGTAAGCATGATAATTATAAAATCCCAAAATTATCTGAATAATATCATAGATAAAAAAAAAATCTGCCATTTGAAATATTTAGAGGGGTTTTTTAACAAGTTAATTTTTTTTTGTTAACTTTCTGCAGAACATAAGCAACAACCGTAATACTATTTTCTTGGCCTAAAAAAAAAAAAAGCTGCACTAAATACTCCCAATTAATTGATCCTATTAGCAGATACCAAAGACACAGGTGCTGGAAAAGCTGACCGACGTGATCTAGGTCCATCTGGATTATCCCTATTTTCACAAATGACATTTTTTGATCTGTCAGTAAAAAATTTAAACAATTTGCACCTTAACAAAAAAAGGTACTTATCCCCTGAAAAATCTTAAATGTAAGATATTATTACCCCTTCTTACATCTTTTTACGATGGCACATTTACAAGTTTAAATACAAAATGTGTACATATTTCTAATCACTAATTTCATCTACATTTTGTATTTTTAAAATTTAACTATATCCAACCTAATTTTATATTATTATTTATATTATTATAATTTTATTACAAGGGCATATTTTCCATATTATAGTGTGGATACCATCCAGATATCTAACCTTGTCACTGAAACCTACTTTAGTAATATTAAAATGACCTTTTCTTACTATTAAGCACACATCATGATAGGGTGAATCAGAGCAAATACAGAGTTAGGATGGGCCCCGACTTGGTGCAAACAGAGCCAGATAAAAAATTAAGAGTCAGAAGTAGATTAGAAATCACAGGAAGTCATGTGATCAGGTCTCATATGCTCTGAGTACAGTAAGCATGAAAGGTGTACAGTCAAGCATGTCCTGTAACCTGCATCAATATTCAGACATAAAAACATTCCAAATCTGCCTAATAAAATTATTTATTCTCTCAAGTTCTTTATATTCTGCAACAGATGGACATGCAACACGCTGTTTGACAATGTGATGGTCACGTGATCAGTAATCCCACACACAACCACTTTTCACTTTGTTTTAACACATAGTAGCAGTTCTGTTCATTTTGACCATATTAGAAGACATTAGTTCAAATTGTAGCGTTCACATTTGGTTCATTTTTGTGTATTTAATTTTGTCAAATGCTTAATATTGATTGTGGTTCATTTTCTGGTGTTTTAGAGAATACCTTCAACTGGGAGAAGGCAAAGGACTCTGGTTGGCTCACTCATTGACTGATTGATAGATCGGGTCATACCATCTGGAGTTCTACTATGGGGGAAGACCATGGAGTTCACATTTTAATATGCTGCATAATTTTATCTTTCTTTTGCGATTTGCTCATGTTGTTAATTTTGTTTAGTTATTTGTAATTTAAGTTTAATCCTTAAGCCAATTGTTAAGTTATTTTTTGTTAAATTTGTGTAGATGTCCTCCCTACCTCTTCCTCAATGTGTCAGTCTGGTCGATCAGCCAGTATTTAAGTCTCCTTTGTTTGTTGTGTTTCAGGTCAGTTTTGTTTGTGCCTTTAGTTCGAGGTTTTGTTATGTTTAACCCTCATATTTTTGCCTGAAGTTAGTCTCCTCATTTGAACTTTTTTTTAAGGGCCCTGTCATTATTGTTGGGATTCTTGTTAATTTAGGGAAATAAAACCAATTTTTCTTGAAAATCACCACTGTGTCCTCATGCTCAGCTGGCTCGGTCCCTCACAGACAACTAAACTTTTTATCACTTGAATGTATAATTGTGTTACGACAAGACTGTAGATGGAACAATCGAGCCAACAAAACTCAGAAAAAAAGTTTGCTCTAACAGTGTCTTACCTGTTAATCCTCCACAAATGTACTACTTGATATATTTTCTAATAGAAAACATTAATTTTAAGAGAGGGTGCTCACAAAATATGGATCTGGAAACATTTTAGCTGAAAATATATTTAAGGATATTTTGATCCTTTTCATACAGAGAGCATCTCTGCATGACAGATGGCCGACACCTTCTATCTATGACTCCTTCTACTGATGTTTGTCTGGTTGAAACAGGGGATTGGGGATACAGATAGCTGCAGCAGACTGACCGAGAACGTCAAGACAGTTTTACTGCTTCCCAAATTAGAATCGTTGGTCTAAAGATGAACCACTAACTTTGTTTCATTTAAAGTGAGGAAATAAAAGGACCCTATTTAAAAAAAGAAAAAAAGAAAATAGAAATAGAAAAGGGCTAAAGAATATTGGATTAATGTTTTTATTTCATGTTTTCAGTGCAGAGTTTTGGTAAAATTTAAATAAGAAAATTTTTGTTTAATGTTTAACATGTTGTTTGATACTTAAAGAGCATGCACAACATGATTCGATTGTCTTTTTTGGCCCGGTCTTATTTTATTTATTCATTTTAGTCGTTTAAGTTATCCTATTTCACTAAATGTGTATTGAATGAGTGAACAACTAAATACTAAAGTGAATTTATCTCACTTTGTTTCTTTCTATTTTACAAGCATGTTTTGTGATGGGTGACCTATTTTATGGCTTAAGTACCTTAACCCAAAAATGTCTGTGGATACTCCTGCTTCCAGGACACATCAAAATACAACAAACACGCAAAATTAAAACATCATCCAAGAGAAAATATCCACTAAATAAGAGTTGTAATCCCAGTCCATATTGATTCAAAGTGACGCAGAGATGGAGATTATCCCACTGGGAGGAAAGGAGCCTAGATTTGTCACCACTTTGTGCATTTTTTAAGGATAGATCACAGATTATTATCAATACAGGCTTCTAATATGCTACTTGTCAGCATTATATTTGTAAAGCTTTAGTTATCTGAGATTTTATGTCCCCCCCCCCGACCCCAGTTTTAGTTTGTATATTTGGATCAATCCTTCGTTTTGACTTCATTCAAGACAGGGAGATTTTTAGGACAATTGAAAAATGAAGACATGATATAAAGTTTAAAGAACTTGACTTCTTTTTCTTTTTATGGTTCCTTATCATTCCTTATCCTCTATGGACCGACGGCACAATTTACATGGAAAGTGCTTAGAAACTGATCAAAACATAGCAGTGCAATTCTACTTGCAGGCAAAGGAGGAATTAGAAAGATGAAAAAAAAACAAAACAAAAAAACAGCATAACTGTCCCACTAACAATTAAAAAATACAACAATACTATTGTGAACTTGGGTATGTACATTTCCCCTGGAAACAGTGAGAATTATTTTAAGTGCTTAAGTGCATCTGTCTACATGTTTCAATCTAAGAAGTTACACAGACCTTTATAGTTTATTTTCATTACTTCTCTACTGTATTGGCTGGATGGAAATGTTGGCACAAGATTTGCATGTTTACAGCTTCAAGTAGATGATTGCAATTTGGCAACATGAACATTGGATATTTAGAAAATTGGCGTGAGGGAGAACGATGAAACGAGGCCAGATGTCATTCCGATGCCAGCTCACTCATGTGCATTTAAGTAAATTAAAATATAAAGATATCTTTCATCTAAAAAAAGGAAACATATTCAAATAGATTTTATATCCCTCCACATATAGGGCAAGTCACAAAAACATAATTGCATAAGAAGCTTGGTGGTCATAGAGTGCTGGATCCAAACGTATTAATGGAAAGTTAAGTTAATGGAAAAGCTATGAAAGGCAAAGATGCGGTTGAAAATTTCTTTATGAAAAATAATCCCATCTAACTTTTCTTACATAATATTTAAAAAAAATAATAAACTGCTTTTGGGTTTTCATTAGCTGTAATTCATAATAATCAGATTTTATAGATATGACTTGAAATATATTATTTTGTGTGCAATGATCATGAATGTAAGTTTCACTTTTCTAAACTGCATGAAAAATACGTCTTAATAATATTTAGATATACTGAGATACACTCTGAAATATTTGATCATGGCTAAGATACCTTAGAAATCTGGATTTTTTTTTTAATGTTTAACCAATCAAAAGCTAGGATTGCCTGAAGCACCTTGTATGGGTAACCTGTGCCAAGTGCACAGAGTTGAGGTATTTCAAGCATTGGCACTTTTTCAAACTTAGACTGCATAAACAATGCATAATCTGAAGAGAATAAAATATAATGGAGGGTTATCAACTTTTACCAATCTTTTAAAACTCCAAATAAACACAATAATGTTCAGCTCAAAGGTGTGGTTGCTGGTAAGGTTTTCAAAGCTGCACTTTTCTTCCTATTAAAATGGCACTTTGCAAATACTGAAAAACTATATACCCATTCAGGACATGATGGAGCTTTTTAGATCTCCATCACCGACAAACCAAGACAAAAATCCATCCAACCCATCTCAGATGTATGTTTTTTGGCAATGGAAGCCTTAACAATTCCTACAGTCCATTGATGTTGGTAATGGGCACTGAGGATGACTATTGGACCAGAGATGGAAAACGGAGAAGTGGACAGAGAAGCAGTCTAGAAAAAAAAGCTAGTTTTAAAGTTGCTGGAGCACAGGAGCAGGGAAAGCTATAGATCCCTGATCCAACCTTTTCTCAAAGTCTAGTCTGAGCTTCTGGAATATAGATCTCAATGCTGTCCGCTCGCTCCGACGCCGAGTTCTGCCGGAAGGAGGCTGCGCGCTTGACTGCCATGAGCCTCCGACGTGCTTCCTGCCGGTGCCTGTCTGGGAGGTCCAGGGATTTTTCCCTCGTCATTGCACTCTTTTGTCTTACTGTCTTCTTTGGTATGGGAGCAGAGGGCTGCAGGAAAATTGGATACTGGTTATAAGTCCCTTCTACGGAACAGGATTAGGGCCACTGAAAAAAATAAATAAAAGTTAACTGATTTTTAAATTTTCTTTCAGTTTAATATGGGAAAAAGTCAGAATTCTGACTTTAATCTCAGAATTCTGACTTTAATCTTAGAATTTCGACTTTAATCTCAGAATTCTGACTTTAATCTT